CATTTATAAGTCGTCAAAACATCTCAAAGACTCTTTTCAAGTTACGTGACTTTATAGTGTAACAAAACTCCATTTTTAAAGTACTGGCATAACTTAGTAGATAAAAGAGTCTTTTCAAAAACAGTTCAAGGAAAACATTAGTAAACTATAATAGGTATAGTTTAGGAAAAACACTATTCATTTCCTTCTAATACAATAAAGCATACAAGGAGTCAGTTCAAGTACATTAATAGTAAACTATAATTGGTATAGTTTAGAAATTCAGTTCATACTAGATACAATACACGATAATATAAATAGAATACACAATAAAGAGAAACAGGGAGGAACACACCATACTAAGTACCGGAAAAAATCACGTTAATATATCTTGCCGGGTTTGCATTGACACTGGTACGATTTCACATACCAGGACTAGCAGGCACGAGGTGATAAACCTAATAATATATCTTGCCGAGTTTGCATTGACACTGGTACGATTTCACGTACCAGGACTAGCAGGCACGAGGTGATAAAACTAATAATATATCTTGCCGAGTTTGCATTGACACTGGTACGATTTCACGTGCCAGGACTAGCAGACACGCGGTGATAGAATATCATAATATATCTTCCTAGTTACATACTAGTTCACATTTAAACCTTTAATTAACCGACTTAGGACTAAAGGCTACTTTAGACTCCCCGAGGTGTATTGTACATTTAATACTACCTGGAGTCTGAATTTTACTACTTTAGACTCCCCGAGGTGTATCGTCCATTTAATACTACCTGGAGTCTGTATTTTATTACTTTATAACCAACAATGTCATTGCTGAGGTAAAACATTATTTTCCCTATTACATTTACTTGTGATCTTCTCACATATTCATTAATGTATAAACTATATTTAGTTAAAGATAGTCTCACTTGGGAAAATACCTACTAATACAAGGAACGAACACCCATAACATTTGATGCCTTGGTAGAAGGCTACGTTTAGTAGAAAGGACCATAATGCTAACCTTATGATTCCCTAATGTATACATCAAAGGATACATATATATCAATAGGATCCGACATGTAATAGGATGTGTGCTTTCCGCTTCATTTCCTGTTCCTTGTTTGGTTGTGGGCTTGGAACAGATTCACCCAGTCTACTATCTATCCGATTCTAGATATATATGTCCAGTATACATTGAGTCATCATGAGGGTACCAGGTATGGGTCAAGTCATAGGACAAAGAGTCAATGCACAGTTTTCTAGTACAGAACATACTTTCCAAATCAGAACTTTGGGTATGAAAAACTAGAAACTTACCAGTTAAGGGTTTAATCCATTTTATTAAACCAGTATAAACTTAAAGGACTCTACGTGATTAACTCTATAATACTTTGGTTTATACAGCACGGTTATATATCATTAATATCCAATAGATAGTTGGATGTGTGCTTTCCGCCTTACTCCCTGTTCCTTGTTTGGTTGTGGGCTTACGGCAGATTCACCCAATTAACTCTCTATCCGATATCAGATCCTATATAGCCAGTATAAACTAAGTGCTTATAGAAGTAATCACTGTGGTCACCATTTTATTATAAGAAATAAGAGCTTCCTTAAAGAATCTTTTCATTAAATATAAAGGAACCATTACAATTAACTCCACGAGTAACAAGTGAACACGCCAGAGTTATATATAACAATGATCTAACAAATAATGGGATGCGTGCTACCCGCCTTACTTCCTGTGCCTTGTTTGGTTGTGAGTTAGGGCAGATGCACACAGTCGATTGTTTGTTTACTCTGAGTTTTCATATCACATGTATCCATTTAGTACTCGTAGAAAGGATTGTAGAATCATTTTTACGTATCTTTCACCAAAGTAGAAAATATAGGATTTTCTAAGAGGAACTGGCGAACTTTTCTAAACAGAATTTACAATTTATTTATATCACTAAAATCTTATGAACTCACCAGCTTAATTGTTGATCAACTCTTTCAAATAACTTGTATTCTCAGGAGACTATTAGACAGGTACTCGCACTGGGATCCCGAAGATGGAGCAGTATAGCTTCAAGTCTTGTTTGTTAATTGCTATTGTATTCTATGTTTTGTGAACACACACTTTGTAAACACTTTCTTTCTAATGAAATGGTTGTTTATTACTTTGATTACTATGATGCATGTCTTGTGATACTAAACATGACGTCCTCCACCCCAGAACGTTTCCGCCGTTTCGGTTTTGGGGTGTGACATATGGCCCATTTTGTGTTCGGTTAGCGTTGAGAGGGATGTTGATTGGGTTCTTGCAAGTTGGTGGATTGATGGTTGAGTATTTTTAGTCTCATGTGGTGCTGGTCATGAGTCTTCGGGACAACAATATAATAGCGGCTTGGATCGTGTGGGCGGTAAAACGTTTATTGGGAGTATTAGTTGTGCATCGAAAGTCGCTTGATGAATGTTTGCCACTGTGGACCCCTTTTTCTTGAGAATTGTTTATTAAGGGTTTGGTTACCAATGTTAGGTATTGGTTCTGAAATCTCGAGTCATGAAGTTTGTTGTAGGTGTCTCGAGTGATTTGTCAGGTGGATGTACACCTGAGCTAATAAGAGAATTGGATGCAACGTGAGATTCTTGGATGGACCATCATCATGCTCGTGGGAGCACTGGGTTGGCAATGACTTGTCAGGAAGTCAAGTGTGTACTCAAGGTTCTTGGGCACAACTTCCAAATTTAGGATTGGTTCAAATTCATGATCTATGTTTTGAGTATTCTTTCTGGATGTTTTGGTGGTATCCCTAGTCAGGGACTAGGGGTAGGTACGACGATGGATGAGCATCAGTCTTAGAGTATGGGTTCTGGAGTTTAGACAGATGGGTTCTCGGTTTTGGGAGTTTATTGACGGAGTTAGTTGTAGTTCCAGTTTTTGAGAAGCTTCCTAGTTTGAGTGGTTTTCACAGGGATTTGGGCCTTTCTGTTAAGGAGAGAAGGATAGTGGTTGCGGTTGAATATTTTCAAGTTATTGGGTTGTTTGTCGTCAGCGGTGGTTTTCGAGTGGTCTCTCGAGCTTTCTTTACAAGATTCCTTGATTTCGAAGTGGTTAGAGGAAGCTTATGGAATATGTTGGTGTGGTTTTCAAAGATCCTAACCAAGACGGATCTCGAGGATAAAATCCAATTTAAGTGTGGGAGAGTTGTAACACCCTGTTTCGAGGAGTTTTATATTTTAGGATTATGGGCAATAAATGAATCAAATAAAGGCATTGGGCTTTAAGGGAAGATTGTTTAGACCCTGATGGATGTTAATAATATCGGTTATATGAGCTAAGCCCTTGATTTGTGCTTTGGAGCCAAGGGATAAAATAGGAGAAGTTATATGTTAGGCTTCTTGCATGAATTATGGTTTTTAGTTTGGCATGTGTTAATCCAAAATTAACTAGATAGAAGTGTGGGGCTCGACAATACCTTTTCGTGGATATAAAGATCGCCGAAAATGGAGTTGAAATGAAGAAGTTATGGTTGTTTGAAGTTGAGGTGGATTTGGGTGAAAAGTCATGGCTACGGCGTAGGGATCAGATCCCACGGCGTGGGAGTCAGTCAGGCCCAAGCCCATGATCTTTTTATGGTTTTCAACGTATTTAAGCTTAATGTTCTGCATTTTAGGGCATTTTAGCGAACCTCTTGGGAGAAACCCTAGCCTCCACCTTCAAGATTTGAGCTTCTCCCCTCTCCTCTCTCTCCTCTTTTGGATGCTTCTTATGGTATTTTGATGAAATAAGAAGATCAAGAAGGTTATCTTAGTTGAAAGGAATGATGCTTCAAGTTTGGATCCATCAAAGGTACTACATTTCTACACCATTGTGAGTATAAAGTTCCAGTCTTGCTATCTAGTTCATTAGATCTTATATTTTGGGACCGAATCCCCATGATACAATAGCTTGAACTGATTATTGGTTTAACATTTTTAAGAAAATATTTTATATATTTTTCCGTCCGTATGAAGTGTGTTAACTTGAGCATTTGGGACTGAATTCTCATGATACAATAGCTTGAACTGATTCTTTTGATCACTTGAACCTACTGCACTACTAGGCCAAAGTTTACCTTGATTGTAGCAAAAAAAAAAAAAAAGTAGAAGTGAATGTGAGAAGGAGAAGATATATTTTCACTGAACACGGTCCAATGTGGTTCGCATTTGCAATTAACCCATACATACCTCTCCCCTCCGCTCGGCATGCGCAACATAGAACCTTTATGTTATAAATTTGACAAGGTTTAGAAGTGTCTTTGTATTTATATATACTCATTTTTTTTTCATTCTCCACCTATGTAGGATGTAATAAAAACTCATTAAACTTTTTTTTAACTTCATTCAACTACCTTAATTTGGTGGCACATCTCCCCTCCCATTTGCATGGGCAACATAGACCCTTTATGTTTCATATATCCATTTTTTTTTTTCATTTTCCAACTATGTTGGATGGACTAAAAACTCATTATAACTTTTTATTAATTTCATTCAACTACCTTAATTTAATGATTAATTTCTTATTTATTTTGAAATTCATTTTGAACATATAATATATCAAAACGAAAATATCATAGAGAGAGGACAAAACGAATATACGCTAGTTTATCCATTTTAAAAATGTTTAAGGTTTAAAATTCGTGATCAAATATTGAAAAAAATACACTTTTAGAAATTGGTTTAAACCAAATTTCCAATACAAACATCCTCTAACTCTTACGCTTAAATCCAAACATATACTTTTAACCGTCAACCTTTGGAGGATATTTCCAACACACCAGTGGTATACGGTGTTGTCCTCCCTCTTTAAGGTTGAGGGTTCAAGTTCCGTTGTGGATTTACGGTATAGTGTAGGAGTAGGTTAGATTTGTCATTTAAAAAAAAAAAGAGGATGAAAGTAATTATATTAGATCATTGGAATTTATAACGACTCTATTTAGTCTTTTTTTTACACGTTGTCCTAACAGTCTTTCTGATATTTTGACATCATAAACTCTCATGGCTTGTGTATACCCTTTCTATGCCTTACAGCAAACCTATTCACTAAAGCAAGTGCATTACTAGTGACTTGTGAAACATAAACCATCCTCTTAATGACCGCATCCTTTACACGTCCATTCAGAGAACTATCAGTAAATCCCCTGGAACATATGTTTTGATTAGTAAGAGCAGACCCGACCCACGTCTCAGCGTTGCTCATGTGCCACTCGAAATCTTGACCCTTGGTTCGAGCCATCTTCTCTAGCTCCTGAACCGACTGGCTTAGACTCGACACACTGTTGCTCATGGTGCTAATACAGTCTTTCACGGCTTGGTACTCTCTGGGTTTTATGCCGGAGACTCGACCCAGTTTGGAAATGAAGATGCTTGCTGACTTGGCGTTGCTTAGGCTGACGGAAATGGCGGCTTTGGCCAGGAGGTGGTCGGCGTTGTTCCCCTTGATTGAACCGGCGTAACTTGAGAGACAGGTGACACAGAGAGAGGCGTGGAGGGTGGTTTTGCAGGAGGCCTTGATGAAGTCCATGGCGGTGGGACTGGCGGCACCTCCGTTCACGGTGGTGTACAGGAGTGTGGCTATAAGAACTAACAGGTAAAGCCCAACTCTTTCCATATTGTGGAAGCTTCAAGTGTTATAGTGTTATGAGAGATAAAAGGGATGAAGATAGTGAAGAGGGGTAAGGTGATTTATATAGCTAGCGACTATTGAGATTTGAGAGGTCTTTAAATGCTTTCTCGTGTACTCTGGACTTGGGATACGTATCAACTTACCTGTCCGCAGTAAAATAACAAAGTTTGACTTTCTCAAAGCCAAGTCAAACTTCCATGAACTTTCTAACCACTGTGACAACCCTAGCAAACTATAAGAAAGACGTAGTCAAAGATTTGCAAATGTGGATCATTAATTATGACTAATATATGCTTGTTTAATTTGGACAGCTGGTTTATAAGCAATTGTGCAGAGTGTAAATGTGATATAATAATATACTAGAAGTACATATTTGTCGGTATTGACTATTTAGTAGTAAAGCAAAGGCTAAGGGGCTTTCTTTTTTTAAATACCATCAAATTTGACTGCCCCCGGTAGAACTCGTATAATACTTGATCTTTGGTAGTTGTTTGTTTTTTAAAAGACTTTAATTATATTATTCAATATAGATTTGTTTTAATTTTTTCAACCAGATTTTTACTATTTTAAAAATATTATAAACAATTCAAGTATATTTCACATAATTTCAATATCATTTGATAAATTTTATATAAATATTAATATTAATAAATTAGAAAAGTTAATCAATAAAATTAACAAATCTATTGAAGCTAACCGGAAAAATAATCATCGTCTTGGAAAAATTTAACAAAATGAACATGATCGCTTATTAACAATTTTATTTATTGTTATTTATCAATTATTATATTTAATTATTTTATATAAAAGTCTTTAAAAATCAAATTATCACAATTATCTTTATATTCGATTTGTATATGATTAAAACTAAATAAATTTTTGATTTAAAATTACTTTTAACTAATGTATGCTTAATTTCAGTTTATTTCAGCTAGGGATGTGCATTTGGACCGAGTACCCGAACTGAAACCGAAACCCGGACCGGACTGGACTGACCCAAATTAGGACCGAATAAGTTATTTGGGTCGGTTCTCAGGTATCTACTTTAGCCCAATTCGGTTCTCGGGTTACCCGAATAATGGTTTAATCGGACCAAACGGACCGACCCAAAAATTGAATAGTCACTTGATTGATCCTTCTTCGTTCTTGCGTATTGTAACGTCCCAAAATTTAAGACCAAAAATTTAAGTTTTATAATAATAAAACCATCATCTAAAACGTTTCATAAAGAACATAATGAAATCAGAGTATCAATAATCATCCAGTTACATCAGTGTCAAATAAAATGCAGAACAATGTGGTGTGTGCGATGCGATCATCCCGAGCTTATCCCCTTCGATCCGGAAGTACCTGAAACATAAACTGAAAACCGTAAGCATGAAGCTTAGTGAGTTCCCCAATATACCTCATACTATACATACCAAACATACAATGGGCCAAGCCCAGTAACCATCGGGCCCTGCCCGACATCGATCCCCGCTCGGAACAGATCTGCCAATAATATAAGATGGGCCCCGCCTCATCACATTCATCAGGCCCCACCTGGCATCGGTCCCCTCCTATCATTCATATAGACTATTGCGACATCGACCTCCGACGAGTCTTCTGGTCTTCTGCTGCGGCAGAGATCTGGACATCACAGTGCAAAGTCGTTAGAGCCGTCCCAGGGACTGTGCCCCGGGAGCGGACTCCGACGGTCAAGTTAGATCAACTGAAAGATCTGAGATGGTTCTCCATAGCTGGAGAGGACCATCTTGGTGCTGGTGATGGTGTATGGTGGCTAACGGCGGCGGGTGGCGGCTGAGCCACCCGGCCGGAGTATAGTGTGGCGGCTGAGCCATGAGGTAAGAACCTTGGGGAAAAGGTCTAGGAGAGATCCTAGTGGTGGCTGAACCACTTCGGAAAGAGTCCTCCCTCATGGAGGAGACGCTATTCTATTTATAGGGGACAACTAGGTCAAGGGGAATTAGGTCAGGCCTTGGGCCAGCCCAATTCAGGCCCAACTAGCAAGGAGCTGGGCAAGGCCGCCCGGAGGCGTCGGGCGGGGCTGGCGGGCGCGCCCTAGGCAGGGCTGGCAAGTGCACACCAGGAAGGGACGACAAGGAGGGCGTCAGGCAAGGGAGCGCCAGGCCGGGCCGGCAGGAGAGTCCCCAGCAGGACTGGCAAGGGAGTCCCCAGCAAGGCTGGTAAGGGAACGCCAGGCAGGACTGGCAGGAGCGCGCCAGGCTAGGCTGGCGCGCTGGAGCAGTCTAGGCCATGCCAATGGACCATATATCATCAAGTACCCCCGGTCTGGTGTTATTGGTACGCGTCCAATGACATCGGACTGGAACTAGTCATATAAACTGTGCATCGTCAAGTCCCCCTATTCTGATGCGATTGGGTTGCTGACAATCGGATCGGACTAGATAAAGCACCAATACAATAAATAATAAAGAGAAATGACCGACCCTCGCCCACGAGAGTCGTGGGGTTGTGCGAAGAGCCAATCATTACTTATGCAGCTTGAGCTGACTTGATACTCCTTCATTGAGAGGAGTGCGAGCCGATCGGTGCGATGCAACGTAACTATTATTGCGATCATGCGGACCGAGGCTGCTAAAGAGTGTTACACGACACTGATGTCGATAAAATGTCGGACCGGGGTAGCTAGGAAGCATAGCCTCGCCCTACAGTCTCTAAGACCGTTGTCGAGCTCCGAATTTTGTAAATAGATACAACGCACTTGGTCCATGATTCTCGCGTTCCAGTCACAACTGAAAGATGTTAATAGAAATAGACGCTCTGAGCGTTGCACGCGCACCTCGGTGAGGGGGACGAGACCCGTAGCCAACACCGGGTGGGGAGTTATATTTCTATGCCCGCTGGATGAGAACTTTGAGTGACTGGTCAGCGGTGCACACTTTACAAGTCCCCTGTAAATGCTTTACAGACCAGGCTTTGCTACGCGAGTTTGTTGTTGGCGCACTCTGAGTGTAGCGATGCTGGAGCGACTATCTGAAAAGACAACCCGATCAAATAGTTAGTATTTTTTCTTGAAATAATAAATCGATTCATATTGTTCGTCACGATTGTTTCTAAACGCTTCATGAATAGTAGTAGCAATAATGCACTACTCTTCTCCTCCCCCCTTTTTTGATGAGAACGTCACGCTGGCTGGACCGCATCTTCTAGAAGCGGATTTATCTTGATTGAAGTGGAGCGCACGAGCTTCAAATTTTTTTTGTTTTTTGGAAAGTTCCGAGTGGATTGGACTGTAAAACATCTTCTAAAATCGAATTATGTTGGACGAAGTCATATTACTTGAGACTGAAAGGCCAATTTATTCTTGAAAAATTTGTGTCATTTAATCCTTTAAGGCAGCCCAAATGTTGAAGTATATGGGAAACCCAGATAAGGTGCTATAGCCCACGTGCAGCCCATTAGGGTGTACGGAGTTGTAAGCCCAAATATTCTTTTTTTTTGTGTGTAATTTGATCCAATCAGACCAAAGGTATCACCTAGGGCCCGCTTGTGCTTCTTTTACCAATTTTGAATAGAGGCGAGGTTATTCCAACTGCACCCTACAAACTCAATCTGTCAAAACGGGAATCCAAAAGACGCAACGTCGGCGATTGAGGATGTCTGAGACACCGGAGCCGTGAACTCCACCGATGGTCAACGAGTAGTAACTCCAGGTCACCTGGTATCGTCGGCTGAGAAAAGGATCGGATCGGCCAGATCATCGGCGACGCATGCCTATTGGGCCGATGGAAGATGGCACGACGGTTGGTGCTTCGATTACACTGGCATCGCCGCTCCGCCAGGTCTCTCTTGAAGGATGTCTTCAACAGGTATGGTCTGACGGTGATGATGGCGGTGAGCTAAAACTGTTGTGGTCAACATTAGGGTTGCGTCCCCGGAGGCCAACAGGTAAGTGAGTACCGTCGGGGAACGTTTTGCTTAGAGGAGGGGCAGCGGAGCTGGGTTGCGCCGATAGGTGAATCCGGCGGTGCTGCTGGGTGTGCTTTGCCAGTCGCCGGCTGGAAGGGGTCGACTGGGTGGTGACGGAACATCAAGGGATCGGCGGTGGGAGGCCTACGAAGGCTTTGATAGTTCCCCGTAGGAGTTCGTCAGTTGTAGATATAGACTAAAGATGCTATTTCGCCAGTGATGGTTAACATTTCAAAGAAGCAATGTGGTCCGGTGGGCTGCTATCAGTCGACATTACATTTGTTGTTGTTGGATTCGACTGGTGGTCTGGAGGCTAATGTCGGCGACCGGAGGTGGATTCAAGAGGGAAGACGGTCTTCCTGTGCAGATGAGTCGGAGGTGCTGAGGACCGGCGATACTTGGTTCAGCAGGCGGTGATAATCGAGAAACAAGGGTCAGCGCTTGGCACAGGTTGTGATTGGAGAAAGCCTTGGTTGTTCCCCTTTGGAATTTGTCACTAGTTGATGACTGAAAATCAGAGGTGTTGGTGAAGATTTGAAAGGAGTTCATGGTGGAGAGTTTCTCTTTCTTTTGTTCCCCTCGAAGCTTAACAATGGATGAGACCTAGGCGACATCTTCTAATAACGTCACTCTGTTGGGTAGTCACCGGGACCGCTGAAGAAGAAGATTCAGGTGTTGCTTGGTTTCATGTTGGGATTCGCAGCAGCGAGCTCGCCGGAAACGCTGTGCTTGAGGTCGCCGGTGCTAAGCAAGTTACGCGATTGGAGGTGGTCCACTTGTGGTTCATCGGGAGGAGTCACACGGGATGGTGAGTGACTGTTTGCACAAGTCTCGGTGCTTGATGGGTTGCCGCCTACTAGAGACGACCAACAATGTTTGAGGGAGGCACTTGCTGTCGGGGCCTTCCTGCTGGGGGCGTCGTCTAGCTGGGATCGACTAGCCATGGAAGCTACTGATGATTGGAGGTCGCCCGGCGGGTGACTGATGACCGGCGATCAGAAGGTGTACAGGCAGCCTCACTCGGGAGAAGCAATAGGCTGGTGGGGCCCATC